AAGGAAGAAGAGGAGAAAAAGTAGGACAAAGAAGACAAAGGAAGAAGAGGAGAAAGAGGAGAAAGGAAGGGGAGAAAAAGGAAGAGAACAGAAGAGGAAGAGGAGACGGAGGAGGAAGAAGAAAAAGAAAGGAGGAGGAAGAGGAGAAAAGGAGGAAGAGGAGAAAAAGAGGAGAGAAGGAGGAGGAAGATGATGAAGGAAGAAGAGGAACAGGAGAAAGGGAGGGAGGGAGGTGAGGGAGGAGAAGGAAGAAAAAGGAGGAGAAAGAGAATGAAGGAAGAGGAGAGGAAGGAAGAGGAAGGCGAGGAGAAAAAGGAGGAGGAAGACGAGGATGGGAAAGGGGGAGCAGAAAAAGGAAGAAGAGAGTGGGAAAGGGAGAAAGAGGAGGAAGAAAAGGAAGAGGAGGAGAAAGACGAAGATTGGGGAAGGAGGAGGAGGACTACGACAGGAGAGGAGGAGTAGAAGGAAAAGAAGGAAGAGGAGGAAGACGAGAGAGAGAGAGAGAGAGAGAGAGAGAGAGAGAGAGAGAGAGAGGACGGAAGAGGAAGAGGAGGAAGAAGAAGAGAGGGAGGGGGAGGAGGAAGAGGAGAAGGTCAGGCAGAGCCCATCTGGCAAGCCTGTCCCCGTTCTACGACCGAAGAGCTGGCCTTTGGGAAAGGCAGGCAGGCAGGAGAGTGCAGTGGTTAGCGCCTCGGAGTAGGAACAGGTCTCGGCTCCGAAAATTGGGGGGTGGGAGGTGGGAGGGGGCTTAAAGAAGAAGAGCCAAGAGGAGGGGCTGGCGGGGACCCCCACCCTCCCCAGGACCTCCGCCCTCCTCCTATACACGGGGATCACGCGGCGCCCGCGTGGAAGGCCAACTTTCGCGGCTTGGCTCCGGCGTGGAAGGCCAACTTTCGCGGCTTGGCTCCGGCGCCCTGGAGCGCAGGGGGAATCCCCGTGACGTCACGGCACATCTGGGCAGCGGTTGGCTACCGCCGGAAAGGCCAAGGAAACCCCCCCTCCCACATTCCCAGCCCTCCCACTCCCAAAGTTTGTGCAATCCCCAATTCCCCGCTGGCAATCATTGGCGGAGGAACTCCGGATGGGTCTGGGAGTGGATTATGGGTTACGGAGGGACAGGTAAAAAGGGGGTCCCCGAAAGGATTGGGGGTGGGTGGAGTGGAAGTGTCTCTCTCTTTCTGTCTCTCTGTCTCTGTCTCTCTCTCTCTCCTCTCTTTTTCTGTCTCTGTCTTTTTCTCTTTCTCTTCTCTCTTTTTCTCTTTGTCTCTTTGTCTCTCTTTGTCTCTCTCTCCTGTCTTTTTCTGTCTCTGTCTTTTTCTCTCTTCTCTCTTTCTGTCTGTCTCTCTCTCTGTCTCTCTCTCTCTGTCTCTCTCTCTCTCTCTCTCACTCACACACACACACACACACAACCACACACGGCCAGAGACTGTGGCTTTGTAGCTTGGAGAGAAACAACATTTTTTAAAAACCCACAATTTTCAAAAAGGCACAAAATAGGGATATAAAGCCTCTCACGCAGCTAGGAATTGGGGTAATCCTAGAAAAGTGGGGGTGGGGGGGCAATCAGGATGGAGACAAGGAAGGCTTCTTCTTCACCCAGCACATTACTGACCTGGGGAACTCACTGCCACCAGTATGTTCCAGTCACGGGGCTACTTCCTTATTGAAACACAGAAACAGAATGATGGGGAGAGGGGAATGCAATGCAGCAGGAAAGGCTTTTGACCCCTTCCTTCCTTCCTTCCTTCCTTCCTTCCTTCCTTCCTTCCTTCCTTCCTTCCTTCCTTCCTTCCTTTTCTTTCCTTCTCCTAATCCTTCTAATCTTCCTTCCTTCCCCTCTTTTTCCTTTCTCATCTTCCTTCCTTCCTTCTCCTGTTCTTTCTTTTTTCCCTAAACTTCCTCCCTCCCTCCCTTTCTCCTCTCTCTTTTCCTTTCTCATCTTCCTTCCTTTCTTTTCCTAATTGTTCTTACTCTCCTAAACTTACTTCCACCCTACTCTCTGTTAATCATAATAATAATCATAATAATAATCATAATAATCATAATCATAATCAAAATAATAATCAAAATAATAATCAAAATAATAATCAAAATACTCATCATCATCATCTAGAAAATAGTCTAAATAATCTGATGGTCATTTGGAAAAATCCTTTCTTAGGGAGCCCCTAGAAGCCAAGAGGAACAGACGTGCCAAATCTCAAGTTTGTAGGTTTGACAGTTCTGGAGATTTTGTGATGACGCGTGAGTGGTAATTTCGCTTTTATACATATAGATGCATAGGATTATTTATGATAAAATATTTACGTATACATATATTTTGCATAGGCTGATGTCATAATAGATTGAGGGAAAATTGTTCCCCCACCCTGCTCCTTCCTTGCCATCTTTGTTCATTTTAATGTTAATTTTAAATGTTAATATTTATCATCTTAATCTTTTAAAAGTTTTGCCATGCCATTTTTATTCTGCATTAATTCTGTCTACAGTCGCCTGTTGGTGAGATGAAAGGCAATAAATGAATAAAATAATAAATTTACCTATAAGCTGCCTCAGGCCCAGGTAGTTTGGGGCCGATAAAGTTGAATTATGACCGTTTTTTCCACACTTATGACCACGGCAACATCCCCAGGGTCACGTGACCAAAATCCAGCCACTTGGCAACTGACTTGTATTTATGACGGTGGCAGTATAATCCCCCTTGGCCAGCAAAGTCAATGGAGAAGTCAGATTCACTTAACAACCGTGGCAAAAAAAGTCGTAAAACGGGACAAAATCCACCTGTCTCACTCAGTGAGGTAAATTTTGCCCTCCATTGCAGTTGTAATCGAGAACTACCTGTATAGGCCTAACTGCCAATACTACCGTGTTTCCCCGAAAATAAGACCCTGTCTTATATATATTTTTCCCTCCAAAAAAAGGCACCAGGTCTTATTTTCGGAGGAAGTCAACCACTGACTAACCTCTCTTGCCCCCGGCCTCCTTTTCGCTGTCAGAGGCCTTCAGGAACTTCTTCTGCGGCCGGTAAGGCTTTCTTGAAGGCCTCTGCAGCCGATAAGAGAGCTCTGGATCGATCCTGAGCTTTGTTACCAGCTCCAGAGGCCTCCAGGAAAGCTTTGCCAGCCTTGCTGGCTGCAGAAGAAATGGGCCGGCCAGGCAGGTTTCAGGGTGTGCGAGGCCTGGCTACACCTGTCCAAAGGTAAGTAGTAGGGCAGCTCCACCCTCCATCCCCACCTTAGCTTAATTATTAACCGTGCAATCTGGAGTGGGTGGGATCTGAATTAGGGCTTATATTGGGCGCACATGTAAAAAAAATCAAGCTAGGCCTTATTTTCAGGGTAGGTCGTATTTTCAGGGAAAGAGAGGTATTTTCTATTTCTGACAACAAAAATCTGTAAACGACGGGGAGCACGAGGCAGAAAAACAGATGCCATTTTGCCGAGAGAAACTGGGAAGGAACTGAATTTAAGACTATTAGCAGAGAGACAGGAAGGTGAATCCTGCTGATTGGCAAATATTTCAGACAAGACCAAATAAACCCGTTTAAAAGAGGAAGTCTCTTCGGTGTGTTTCCCAATTTCCGCCACTTCCTGACGGCTGAACTTCACGACCCAGAATTCCCTAGCCAGCATGAGCAATGGCTGAGGATGCTGGGAGTTGAAGTCCATACGGACAATTGTATTGATTGATTGATTGATTACATTGGTTTGCCGCCCCCTAATTCTTGGCTTATATTCCCGACTGGAACCGGAATTTCTCTTGCGAAGCGAAGCAGGTGTTCATTTGACGACCTTTGGGGTCACGGTTGTTGCAGTTGATCAGTGAATTCCGCCAGTCGTTAAGTGAATCTGGCTTCTCCCATTGATTATCCGAAGCCGCCTGGGAAAGCCACAAACATTGATCAAGGGACCTCCCAGGGATGCTGCAGACATTGTAAATACATGCCTGTTGCCAAGCGCCCAAATTTGGATCACATCATTGTGGGAACAGTCATAAGTGTGAGGAACAAATGCAAGAGGGGAGGACTTCCACTCCCAGAATCCCCCAGCCAGCCTGCTTTAAGAGGGGTGGGCTTCCACTCCCAGAATCCCCCAGCCGGCATGCTTTAAGAGGGGTGGGCTTCCTCTCCTAGAATCCCCCAGCCAGCCTGCTTTAAGAGGGGTGGGCTTCCACTCCCAGAATCCCCCAGCCGGCATGCTTTAAGAGGGGTGGGCTTCCTCTCCCAGAATCCCCCAGCCAGCCTGCTTTAAGAGGGGTGGACTTCCA